CCACCGCCCGCCCCATGTTCCGAGCTTGTGGCAGGGTCATCAGCTCGTCGTTGTTGTTTTGTCGTCGTGGTCGTCGTCGTGGTCGTCGTCGTCGTCCTTCTGGCTGCAACACAGGCCGTCAGGCCTTCGCAATCAGGACCTCGCATGTCTGGGAACGGGTAGCAAAGACACGCCACCGTTCAAGAGCGGCGAGCAGATCCGCATCCGCGCCCTCGCGGTCTGGATTCCGGGGCGAGGTCCAGCGGATGCGCAGTCGCACGGGTACGTTCCGCGCGGGGCATCCGCGGAAAGTGCCCCGTCTCCGCGGGGTCGCGGCCCAGGGGGGCGCGGACACGGATATCTTTTTCGCCATCGAACCGTGAGGAGCGGTAGATCTCGGGGTGGTGCCTCGCCGCGTCGTGCCACTCCTCCATGCGCGCGGCGTGGACGTCCGGGGCGCCTTGGCTGGGGCGTGCTTGCAGAGCCTCTCTCTTGTTCCTAGCCGTGGTGCCACACTGCCGACCAGTACTGCATAATAGTGGTACCAGACTGCCGAGTAGAACTGCGTATAGTAGTACTGCGTATAGTGGCACTGCGTATCGTAGAACTGCGTATGGCATTGTGCCCCCTCCACAAGCGCCACGCCCACTGGCGCTGGCGTGCGCACACGTGTGCGGCCAAAGTAGGTGAGGAGGGCGTCGTAGGCGATCGGCTCAGGGTCGAACTCCGTGCGGATTGCGTGGGCGTCGGAAAGCCCGTCCGCACGCTCTCGTGCGTGGGCTTCATCTGCGTGTTGCCGCCGGTGCAGTCGACCGTCAGCTCCAGGAACCCGCCAACCGCGTCAAGCATCCTCCCCGAGGACCAGAACCAGCCCGTCGAGAAGCGGCACCTCCCCGCGGCCGCAGCCGGCGCAGGGCCCGCCCGAGCCGCTCGGCTCGAGGGCGCGGTCCTCCTCCTGGAGCCGCCGCAACGCCTCGACGGCGGCGAGCCGCGCCCGCTCCACCTCCTCCAGCGACTCGTCCTCCGGGCGGAAATTGAGCTGCTTCGTGGTGCCTTTGCCTGGGCCGTTCTTCATCACGTATCTCACACGCCACGTCTGTCTCTTGCTGACCCAAAAAACGTACTTGACGCCGCTCTGGCGTTCTGCGCTCTTTCCGCCCAGGCTGATCGGCCCGAGCGCGCGGTCCTCCTCTTCCAGCTGTCGCAGCGCCTTGACGGCGGCGAGCCGCGCCCGCTCCACCTCCTCCGGCGACTCGTCATTCGGGCGGAAGGTGGGCTGCTTCTTGCGACCTTGATCCGGGCCGTTCTGCATCCTATACTGAATGCGCCACGCCGCCCTGCGTTTGTCCCAGTGCATGTGCTTGACGCCGCTCTGGCGCGGAATGGAGCTGCCAACGCGGACCCGCCCGAGCCTGTCCTCCTCCTCCAGCCGCCGCAGCGCCTCGACGGCGGCGAGCCGCGCCTGCTCCACCTCTTCTGGCGACTCGTCCTTCGGGCGGAACGCGAGCTGCTTTCTGCGACCTTGATCTGGGCCGTTCTGAATATTATACTTAATACGCCATACCTTGCTTTGCTTCTCCCAGTCTATGTGCTGGACGCCGCTCTGGCGCTCCGCAGGGCTGTAGCTGCCAGCGCGGACCTGCCCGAGCCTGTCCTCTTCCTCCAGCCGCCGCAACGCCTCGACGGCGGCGAGCCGCGCCCGCTCCACCTCCTCCGGGGACTCGTCATTCGGGCGGAAGGTTGGCTGCTTTTTGCGACCTTGATCCGGGCCGTTCTATACTGAATGCACCACGCCGCCCTGCGCTTCTCCCAGACTATGTGCTTGACGCCGCTCTGGCGCTCCGAGCTGCCGGGCCTTCCAGCTGCAGGAGCCGGCGCTTGGCGGCCGGGGCTGGCGGCCGCAGCCCGCAGCGGCGCCCCGCGCACCGGGGCGGGCGCCGCGGCCGGCCCGGCGAAGGCCGCTGGGGCCAAGTGCCCGCACCACGCGGTCGCCAGGGCTGCGCCAGCTGCTGCCACGCCCGCGCCGCGGCGGTCGCGGCGGCGGCAGGTCATGCTCGCCTCTCGGAGCGCAGCGGCTGGCCTCGAAGCGAGCGGCGGCGCGGGCCGGCTGCCCGACCCAGGCCACAGAAAGCGCTCGAGCCTCTGGAGCCAGAGTGGCTATGGAAACGCTCTGTGCACTCTGGTGCTGCACTGGAAGGAAGGGGCCTGCGGGCCCCGTCATTGATAGCGGATCCGGGGTGGGGGCGCTATGTCCTCGAGCGGACAACCACGAAACCGACGCTGTCTTTTGGACACCTGATCGGACAAGAACGGGAATCGCCGCTGTAGTCTAATGGGCGTGTTGGGCGAAGAAGAAAAAGAAGGCGAGGGCAACGAGGAGTCGATGACGAGGACGACGTGGCGAACGTGAGGATAGCGAGGAGGAGCATGAGGACAACGAATAGGAAGAGAAGCACGAGGACGAGGACGAAGAGAACGAGGGCGAGCACGAGGAGGAATGCGGAGGGCGATGACGACGACGACGACGACGACGACGACGACGACGACGACGACGACGACGACGACAGAGGACAGTAAGAGGCAATTGGAGAAAGACGTTGCTCCTGGCGCCGCGCGGGGTTGTCTTGGGGCCTGTTGGGGGCTTCCTGGGGGCCCCTTGGGTCCTCTTTATGGGCTCCTGGAGTCCTCTTGGGCTCTGGGCGCGTCGTGGGGTTCTGTGGGAGCTTTCTCAGGCTTTCTCGGCGCCATCTTGGGCCGTCTTGCAGCTTTCTGGGGCCGTTTGGGGGCCTCCTGGGGCGCTCCCGGGAGTCTCTTGGGGCCTTCTTGGCCCTTCTCGGGCCGTCTTGGGGCTCTTGTGAGCTGTCTGGGTGGCTCCTAGAGCGATCTTGGGGGTCTCTTGGGGTCTTCTTGGGGCGCTCTTGGGCGCTCCTGGGCGCTCTTGGGCGCTCCTGGGGCTCTCCGAAACGTCTTTTGGGCCTCCCTTGGGCCGTTGGACAGCCCTCCAAGAGCGATTCGAACACGACGTCGATTCGGAGTCCCCTCTTGGGCCGATGTTTGAAGGATGTCTCGAGCGAAACGGCTATGTTTCAAAAATCCCCGAGCGCGGTTTCAAAGCGCGCCCCGTACCCCGTCATGAAGTTCTACCACCGACAAGCGGTCCACGCCGAGGGCGCTTCCCGTCATCCGCCACCGTGCCGCTGGGCAGGGAGCGGGCGTGTCCTCAGGTCCTTTGAAGGGGCCCCAGGACACAGAAATAAATACACACAAACAAAAATATTCCCCATGTTTTCCCATATGTTCTGGGTTTCTGTCTTCCCGCCCACGTCCCATATTCTCCTACATTTTCTCTGGGAAATCGAGGATTCGTTGTGTCTGTGTGTTTCTGTTCCTCCTGATCCTTTGCCTAAAATCCTCTGAGCCTCAGCCCTCGCTCCTCGGGAAAAGCTTCCACAGGGGGACCGGACCCAAGACTCCAATCTCCCCCGGGGCCGGCCGCCGCTCCCAGCAGGCTCTCGAAGGATTTTGGCTTTCTCGCCTTTTCGGCCTTCTGACGCTCCAAGACCCTCCTCCCTCCTCCCTCCTCCCTCCTCCTCCTCCCTCCTCCTCCTCCCTCCCCCCTCCTCCTCCCCCTCCCCCTCCTCCTCCTCTCCTCCTCCTCCTCCTCCTCCTCCTCCTCCTCCTCCTCCTCCTCCTCCTCCTCCTCCTCCTCCGCCTCCGCCTCCTCCGCCTCCTCCGCCTCCGGCCCGTGAGGCCTCCAAGAACTCCCCGAGGCGGCCCAAGAGGCCCGCGAGAGAGCCCCAAGAGGACCCCAGGACGGCCCAAGAGACGCCCAGGGAACACGAACGGAAGTTGTGAGCCTTCCGCCCCAGGAGGCCCCCAGGGGGCCCCAGGGTGCGCCCAAGACGCCCCAAGACGCCCCAAGACGCCCCCAAGAAGCCCCCACGAGGCCCCAGGAGGCCCCAAAAAGGTCCACAAAAGAGGCCCCAGGAGGCCCCAAAACGGCCGTCGAGAGGCCTGAAAAATGCTTCCAGCTTGGACAACCGAAATGAATCCAGTAGGGGCCCGACCACAAGAAACCTTTCACAAGAAACCCAACCCTGAGCCCCAGGACGTCCATCGATTTTTAGTGTGGGAACGTCACGCTTTCCACAGCAGAACAATCGAATCCCAAAAAACCCTAGGCATCCTGGAGGCAAGCAGGGTGTCTCTTGGCATGGGTCTCCACTGTACGGAAGAAGCGGGCACGATGCCCAACAACATATGTTGTCCAACACCGTCAGCGGCCGCTGTTGGGCAGGCGGCCTTCTGCCTCAGATGGACAACGTCCGTGGCGGCGCGGACAGCGAGTCCTGTTCGAAATGGACAGAAACTGCCGTTGGGCATCGTACCCATTCTTTCCGTACCCATTTCGATCGTCCCGATCGCCAGGCACGGTGGCGGGATGGGCGCAAGGCCACTACATCCGCCGCCCCCCTGTTGGCTTGCCACGGGGGTGCCTGGAGTGCTAGGCCTTAGTTACCGTTGTTGGTTTGGCTTCTCTTCCCAAAAGAACTCCCCCTGGGGTTTCGGCCCAGCGCGCCGGCCACCCCGAAGGCCGCACTATCCGCCGACTAAAATTTTTCCAATCGCCTCCAAGACAGCCAAGATGGCACGAGATGGCCCCCAAGTTCGCCCAAGATGTTCCAAAACGGCCTCCAAAGAAACCCAAGAGGGTCGAAGATGCGTCCAAGTCCGCCCAAGAAGCCTCCAAAACGGCCCGAGAGGACAGGCCTCCAAGACGGCTCAAGACGCCTCCAAGAGTCCCTCCCCTCCCCCCGTCCTCCCCTCATCCCCTCCTCCCCCCCCCTCCCTCCCTCCCCCCCTCCCCCCTCCCCCCCCCCCCCTCACCCCCTCACCCCATTCCCCCCCTCCCCCTCTCCCCCCCATTCCCCCTCCCCTCCTTCCCCCCTTCTCTTCCTCCCCTCCCCCCTCCTCCCCCATCTCCCCCTCCCCCCTCACCCCCCCTCACCCCTTCCCGCCCACTCCACCCTTCCCCACCCTCTTTCCCCCCCTCCCACCTCCCCCCCCCAGCCCACTCACCCCCTCCCCCCCCCCCCGCCTCCCCCCCTCCCCCTCCCCTTCCTCCCCTCCCCTCCCTCACCCCTCCTCCCCCCCCCATCCCCCCCACCCCCACCCCACCTTCTCTCACCCCCCTCACCCCCCTTCCCCCCCCCCCTCACCCCCTCCCCCCTCACCCTCCTTCCCCACCCCCCTCCCCCCTCTCCCCATCGCTTCCTTCCCCCCATCCCCCCTCCCCCCTTCCCCCCCCCTCCGCAAATACTCACAAGTTTCCCCGGAGTTGGGTTTTCGCTTGCATTTTGGTTACAAAATGCTTCTCTCGCTGAGGCGCCGGCCTCATTGTCGGGCCCCGCTCGTTCCGAATCGTGCTCCCGCTGCAGCGCTGGCCTCATTTCCGCCGGCGCCTGGGCTGCACGCCCGAGCCGGACGCCCTGGCCGGCGCTCGGGCCGCCGGGTCCGGAGCAGGTCCCGGCCGCCCCCGGAAAATGAAGTTCCGAGGCGGCGCCGAAAAAAGGCCATTCTAATACACATTTTCCCTACCTAGGCTCTGCCTAGAAGGGTTCTTACTCTCTTAGCTTAAGGGGGCTGGGCAGTGGAAAGCGCCCCGGGCGGTTCCCCCAGTCCCCGCCCCGCGGTTCCCCCAGTCCCCTGGGAGCTTTGGCTTTAGCTTTAGCTTTAGCTGTACCTTAGCTTTAACTTAGCTTCACCTTAGCTTTAGCTTATCTTTAGCTTAGCTTTAGCTTAGTTTTAGCTTAGCTTAATCTTAGCTTTAGCTTAGCTTTAGCTTTAGCTATAGCTAAGCTTCAGCTAAGCTTTAGCTAAGCTTTAGCTAAGCTTTAGCTTAGCTGTGTCTTAGTTTTGTCTTAGCTGCACCTTAGCTTTAGCTTAGCTTCACCTTAGCTTTAGCTTAGCTTTACATTAGCTTTAGCTGAGCTTTAACTGAGCTTTAACTTAGCTTCAGCTTAGCTTCAGTTTAGCTAGCTTTAGCTTAGTTCCAGCTCAGCTTTAGCTTAGCTTTAGCTCAGCTTCAGCTTAGCTTTAGCTTAGCTTTATTGTTACTACTAATGCTGCTATCCTACGGTCTCCAACTCCTAAGTAGGGTCGCACTGGGATAATTTCTTTTGAAAACTCTCAATTTCTGCTTGCGGCGCCCAGGAGGCCTCCTGGACCAACGACGCCCGGGACGGCGCCCAGGCCAGACGCCCGGGCCAGACGCCCGAGCCGGCGCCCGGGCCGGCGCCCTGGCCGGGTCTGGAGCCGGTTCCGGCCGGTGCGGGAAAATCGAAGTCCGAGGCGGCGCCGAAAAAAAGGCCATTCTAATACACATTTTTCTTTGGAAAATGCTGAGTTTCTGCTTCCGGCGCCCGGGGCCTCCTGGGCCGATTCCGACGCCCGGGCTGGCGCCCGAGCCGGCGCCCGGGCCAGACGCCCGAGCCGGCGCCCGGGCCGGCGCCCGGGCTGGGTCCGGAGCCGGTTCCGGCCGGCGCCGGAAAATCGAGTTCCGAGGCGGCACCGAAAAAAGGCCATTCCAATACACATTTTTCTTTTGAAAATGCTGAATTTCTGTTTCTGGCGCCCGGGGAAGCCTCCCGGGCCGATTCTGGTGTGCTTCCGCTCGTTCCGAATCGTGCTCCCGCTGCAGCGCTGGCCTCATTTCCGCGCTTCCGCTCGTTTCGACCCGTGCTCCCGCTGCAGCGCTGGCGTCATTTTCCGTGCCATGCCACGGCATGCAATGCAATGCTAGGTTGATACTACGCTTCGCGGTGCTCGTCTACGCCATGCCACGCCGTGCTCTACAATGCATCGCGTACCCTTTCGGGATCATTGTCCTGCTCGACATCCGACTGTGCGAGTAGAGAGGGG